AGGCTCAAGAACACCTCAGCTCAAAGATGAGAGGATTTGGTTAAGGGTGTATAGGCAAAGGTTAAGGGATTATAGTCAAAAGAGTAGAGAATTGCTGGAGAGAGGGCGAATTATAGAGAGAAAAATTTTTGAGTTTAAAAATTTTCTAACCTTGCTACAAGAGAGATAGGGTCTCTGTATATAGAAAACATGAAATTTCTACAATGAGATCTAGCCCTTCACGTGTGGACAGATGCATGCATTTGTGCAAACAACTGGTATAAAAGATCTGCAGAAAACATTGATGGTTAGCCGGCCATCACTGGTGGCCGGTAAGCCACATCAGTGGCCGGCAGCCCAAAAGTGATGGCCGACATCCTCTAGGGTGGCCGGCAGGCCACCAGAGGTTGCAGGTTGGAAAGAGCAAGGCATAGTCCAAAAATGAGACAAAAAGGATGCATGGTTTGAAAGGCTCAAGGTTGTGGCGTTTCGCTGAGGGCTTCGAGCACTTGGTGAGCAAACAGGCTCATCATCGAGTGTACCTGCGAGGACGTCCAAGTCGTAAAGACCGTCAAAAATGAGATGTCTACAGTTGCCCCTATTTGACAGAACTCGGAGTCATGAAATGACGTGGGTGAATGTCAAATCCCGAAGACGACCCATTTTGACAAGGCCGAAAGACTTGGACAAACAAACAAGATAAAAAATAAATGGTTGTGCCTACAGGCTATCTACGTATCCCTTTGTAAGGAATTAAACCAGCGTAGTTCTGGGGCAAGATGCAAATGATTTGCATAATGCAACTTTGAAAGTTGGACTTACACGCTACGCAAAGCTGACTATTTTGAAAACTCACGATCATGTAAGATGATGCAATAAGCAATAACAAATGCGATAAGCCAGAATGCATACAATAAGCAAGATAACAACATATAAATGAGCAGCTTCAAGCTTAAAACCAACACAGGTTTTTATACAAGAAATAAAACACATTCTAACCTCGTCAAAATAAGAGACGAGGAAAGAAAACACCGCTCAGGGTTGCGTTTCACGCATCTTGAGAAATTGAGAACAAAACCGCTTAGGGTCGTGCTTCACTCGCTCTGAGAAACTGAAAACTGCCCAGGGCCGCGTTTCACGCGTCCTGAGAAACAAGGAAGTGCACCTAGGTCCGCATTTCACGCGGTTTGAGACATAGCACAAAAATCGCTCGGGCTCATGCTTTGCACGTCTAGAGATGAAACCCGCCTAGGGCCGCATTTCACGCGTCCTGAGAAAAACACCCACTCGGGGCCGTGTTTCACACGTCTTGAAAAAGAACCACTCTGGCACGTACTTCGTATGTCCCGAGGTAAAACCCGTCCAGGGCTGCGTTTCACGCGTCTTGAGAAAAACGCCCACTTGGGGCCGTGTTTCACACGTCCCGAGAAACAACCACTTGGGTGCATACTTTGTACATCCCGAGGGAAACCCGTCCAGAGTCGCGTTTCACGCGTCCTGAGAAATAACCACTTGGGCGCGTACTTCGTTCATCCTGAGGTAAAACCTACCCAGGGCCGCGTTTCACGCGTCTTGAGAAACAACCACTCGGGCATGTACTTCGTACGTCTCAAGGTAAAACCCGCCCAAGGTTGTGTTTCACAGGTCCTGAGAAACAACCGCTCGGGCGCATACCTTGTACGTCTCAAGGTAAAACCCAACCAGGGTAGTGTTTCACGCATCTGAGAAACAACTGCTCGGGGTTGTACTTCGTACGTCCCGAGGTAAAACCTGCCCAAGGCCGCGTTTTACGCGTCCTGAGAAACAACCACCCGAGCACATACTTCGTACGTCCCGAGGTAAAACCCACCCAGGGCCACATTTCACGCATTCTGATGAACAACCACTCGGGCGCGTACTTCGTACGTCCCGAGGTAAAACCCGCCCAGGGCCGCGTTTCACGCGTCCTAAGAAACAACCACTCGGGCGCGTACTTCGTACATCCCGAGGTAAAACTCGCCCAGGACCACGTTTCACGCGTCTTGAGAAACAACCACTTAGGCGCATACTTTGTATGTCCCGAGGGAAAAAAGAGGGGTGTACGATAGATGCACAAAGGTGAACAAGTGCGATAGATGCACGAGTTAAAGGAGTGCGATAGATGCACAAAGGTGAACAAATGCAATAGATGCACGAGTGAAAGGAGAAGGCTCTCTTACCGAGACATGAATGATCTTAACCAGAACTCCTCTGAATGAACCATACATACAATATCGTACATGTGTAAGAAAGAAACTTAACAAGTGAGATTCAGTAGGAATGCATGTTCTATGCATGACAAATAACCGAGATACAATGTTAATTAAAAGCATGACAAAAGCATATTCTATGTGTGAAACAACAGCGAAAGTATATTCTACGCGTGATTCATAACGGATGCAAAACGCACATGCAGCATGTATGTGAAATGTATATTCTATGCAACAAAATTACATTCTATACAAGAAACAAAAGAAAATTCAATAGCAACTTCTGATTTACCTCCCAGAAGAGTTACAATATGTTTAAAGGATACACCTCGTTCATGTTGAAAAGTAACGAACATCGTGCACCGAAAACACAGCTTTAAGCTTCCGTAGAGACAATTTGAACCCAACAGTGAACCATCCCTACACTTCTTGGAAACCAAGGACACAAAACAGCATCAAGACCCCAAGGGAGGCCACAGGCCACCGACCGGGCACAAGAGGAGGCCGCCAACCAAGTGCCGACCACCGGTGAACCTTGCCGGTCCCATGCCGGCCATCGATGGCAGATTCGAGGCTTTTTGGTCTTTTAGCCTTGGGTCTATAAGTATAGACAACTAGGGCTTATTTTCTCATAATCTCATATCCGAAAATCTTCTCCCTCTCTCTCTAGACACTCATTCTCTCTAGATTTGCGCTTTCTATGCGTTTTCCAACGCCCCACACAAACTTTATTCGCTAAACCCTCTTAGTTCTCTTCCTTTTGAACCAATTGAAATTTGATTTCGACCATTCTTCCCTCATTTTCACCCTTCTAGGCTTGTTTCCCTCGAGTTTCTCTTGAGTTCTGTACATTTTTCCCAGCTTTGACTTTTTCTTCCTTTTTCTCTCTCCTAGGGTTGACTTTTTCCATGTTTACCCTCTTTTCAGCATTTTTCTTCACTTTTTACCTACTTTGCGCCCGTTCTCCAGATGGCAGATGAGATTCCTTATGACGGAGCTCCTGCGGAGGTTCCACTTGTATCTCCACCCATTGCTGAGGTAGTAGAGCCAGCAGCTGACCTTGAGGCCAACCTTGAGGCAGAGTTCGAGCCTGAGTCTGAGCTAGAGCCGCTACCGCTGAAAGTACGACCTTTCGATCCGAAAAGATACCATCCTCAGACTCATATCTTGCCTACTGGAGGCATCAGACGCTTCACTGAGTTTGCTTGCAGCGCACCGGAGGACCTCTTGCTAAGGGAGCCGGCTTCTTACCTGTTGGCCATTATCGTTGAGGTATGAACTCTATTTTCATGCATTTCTGTCTTTCTGTACTTGTATTTCTTGCACTGCCTTTTATTCAACTATCCTATCATCACTATTTTATCTGATCTATCTGTCTTTTATCTATTGCACCCATTCTTTGCCATAGGGCGAGTCTCTGCCTTCAGAGGATACAGTACTACGACCGCCTAGAACTGGTACAACGAGCTCCCCGCTGGAGTTCACGACATCTTTGTCGAGGCTGGCTTTGGCCTTTTTTGCTCTGGCCTGACTTAGGACACCACTAACTCTTTCCACTTTTCCACCACAGGGGAGATGACAATGACTCCCTACGACTTTGACATGTTCACCGACTTAGACATAGGGGGCGATCCGATCCTTTTTGATACAGACATGGAGGAGTGGGAGGCGGGCTGGTTCGAGCTACTAGGAGCACATCCACATATATATCGGACAGGCATGGTCAAATACACTTGGTTTGCGGAGCGATTCAGAGGGACCGAGCCTGAGACGATAGAGGAGACAGAGCAGTATACCAGGGGCTTTCTGATGTTCGTCTTTGGTACCACCTTGTTTTCGAACAGGTGGAACACCGTAGGCCTGCATTTGCTGAGCGCCCTGGTGACTCTTCCACGGGTTCATTTTTATGACTGGGGTAGAGCTGGCCTCGCCACCTTATATGGCTACATGAGCTCGACCTCCCGTCTGAGAGGAGACTTGATCAGAGGCTACTGGCGAGCCTGGGAGGTACACATTTCAGTTCCCTTTTAACACTTTACATTTTCTGCTTTACAGTTTTTGCTTTACATCTTCTGTTTTGCACTTTCTGTATCTACTCAACATTGTGCTTTCTGCTTTGCACTTTCTGCACCTGTTCATACTGTATTAATCACATATCACTGCATTTTTCCCGTAGCTATGGGTGTATGCATATTTTCCGACTCTCGCCCCAGAGCTTGTAGAGGAGCTTCCATTGGCAGTCCCCTACTCGTGGAGATATGACAGCCAGCTCCACTGTAGGACCCGTGAGCCCTTCGCATTCTTTAGGCTTTACTTCGACACGGTAGCTGCCTATGAGGCACTACAACAAAAAAAGATTTTTATGGCACGCAATGTACACTGTAAAAACCCTTCTACGACGTGCAATGCGCATCATATTATGACCAATTGTGAAAAGTCATTTACTTTCAACGACATGCTTCGTACGTCGTTAAAAATATTTAATGGCAGATTTTATACATTATTACTTTTTCGACATACTATAGTACGTCGTTAAAAACTATTTAACGGTAGATTTTGTGTTGTTATTACTTTTTCTATGACTACTTTTGCACGCCGCTAATTGATGAGACAAATAACGACATTAATTGTGCACTGTAAAATATATAATACAAAGACTTATTATACTTGTGGTAGAATATGCAACTTTTTTTTTATTTTTAAATTCAACAGGTTCTATTTGACCAATTTTGTATAATCTAACAAATATTACAAACAAGCATCACAAAACATCAATCATCCACCAAAATATTATTTGAAACATCAAAAAGAAATTATATCCATAAATTATAAACATTCAACAATTGTCTATACATTCTAAACATTTAAAAACTATATCCTTAAGTTCTAAACTGTGCAAAAAGTTTTAACCATCCAAAACTATACATATCTAACTTTCTGAACATATCAACAACTATTAAGAGATTATCTAAAACTACCAACAATAGTTCCTATAGCAATTACAGCTATAACTGTAGCAAATCCACTTGCTTCTATCACAGGGATGAGGGTGCCAATATATGTGTTAAGGCACCTAAACCCACAGCAATAGCTGGAGCAACTAATCCTCTTGCATTTCTTATCTGCATGACAAAGGAAACTTCACATAAGTACAAAAACTAATGACTCAGGGACAAAAATATATCGTTAGGTATTAAGAAATGATCAACAAATTTTAAAACATCAACAAAATATTTCCAAAATTAATAAGATAATCCAATGGCCCCATAAAAGCAATGTCATAATGAAAAATTAGCAAAAATTCAAGATCTCAATAGTCTCAACGTATATGCAAATAAAATCCACATAAAGCAAAACCTTTTTTTTTTTCTTACCTCAAATGAAGTTACCTTTAATGAAGTTACCTCTTTTGTTGCAACGTTTCTAGAGGGAAATGAATAAGAATCTTCAAACAAACCATTAAGTTTGTATTGTGAGTATTTTGGCGTGATGTGGTGATGCTAACCTTGCTAATTGATTGTAATGTCAGTTGTTCGATGCCCTTTAAGTAAGATTTTGATGTATAAATTAGTCAACCAGTGCAACACAAAATTGAAATTTAACAACAAAAAGTTCAAATGTGAAAGTGAAAATGAGGGCATCATAACACAACCTTCAATGTACAAAAACATAAAAACAACACTTGGGTTTTGAACAATCCTTCACCTTTTGGGTCTCTTATCACCTTCATGGTATCCCCTATAGGATCATTTCTAGAGGTTTCTTCATCTTCCTTTAATTGGAACTTAGGCCACTATAAATTCATTCTAAATTCCATATAAACATGAAAAGAAATAGTGGACATAACAAGCTGCTTAGGGCTTTGTTTCTTTTCCTCTGTTTTTCTTCTAGGATGTGTGGAAAACAGGCATTGAAATGATTATTCATTCTAAATTACATATAAACATGAAAAAAAAAAATATCACCTCACATTTGGAAGCTTTTCCAATTCAGCACCAAATGCCATACTCAGTTTTTCCTCACCACCATGCTACAATAGTAAGATAAAGATAAAAATATTTGCAAAATGGAATAATATAAAACAATATTAAGCTTGCATAAAAATAGAAGTAAACTTTTGTGCATAAATTCTAGTTTGGAATTCCAAAAAGTGGGCCAGTTGAGTATAATCGTTAACCTAGTTGGACAATGACATTGAAACTGATACAAAGTATGTCAAAAAAATTTCTACCACAATAAAAATTTCCATGAATATTTAAACCACTATGAAGTGCTCCTGTATATACAAATAGATTTTTTTAAAAATGAAACACACTCTTCTCGTTACCTCAATTTATTGAAATTATACCCTAGGTTAATGTTCTAGTGTTAGTGCTCTAGAGTCTAGAGGAAAGAGAGAAAATCCACTTACTTGATCTGGGCCTTTTGAATTCATCTGATTTGCAATATATATCATAGTTTGGCCATGAGTCCCTACTACTACGACCAAGACCAAGCTACAAGTAAATTTTCAATTATCAATTGAGTGCATACATTCTATGTGGCAACTTCTATAAGGTCTCTCGCCAAAGAAAAAACCATGTTTACGCATATTACACTATTGAGTATTGAGACCACACCAATCACTAAATGTTAAGTACTTTTGACAAGTACATATATATCTATAATCCACCAATTGACCCAAGTCCCCAACAAAAAAACAAAACAAAAGAACTGGTAAATAAATGGTTACTACAATTGTTCTATATATGGTTTATAGAATATTTTTACTGCCTACGAATAACATCACATAAAAGCAAACGCGTTTTGTAATTGACAAAATGTTTAAAAAAATTTAAAAATATAAAAAAGAGTGAGAAATGGCAAGTGGCGGCAAGTAGCGGCGGAAGACGGTGGTGAAAAGTGGTGACGGTGGGTGGTGGGTAGTGGCCAAATTTATAAACTGAGACCACTGATTTATAAATCAAAAATTTTACCAAACAAGTTTTTATTTGAGTTTTTAAAATTTTTGTAAATATAAACCGAAAACTGCAAACGTAAGTGTTACCAAACGGCATCCTAATATGCCATAGATAAAAACTGCGAGCCGTCTAAAATGAATTCACAACTTGCTGATCCTCCACTTTGACCATAGTTCTTGATGTGTATAAAAAATATATGTAAAACACAATGAAGAGTGATCTCTCTACTGTCATGACCAACTATTCCTTAAATAGAAGGCCTCCTCCCCTATTTAATAAGAAGAGAGATCACTCTACCCAGGTACTAACTATTGTTTGCTAGACCTAAGTCCTCTACTGCCCTTCTGCTCTCACCCAGCCCTTCTCCAGTGATCTTGTGCCACATTGGAAACCACCATGACTTCCCAAAATGATTCACAACTTGCTGATCCTCCACTTTGACTATAGTTATTAAAGTGTATCAAAAATATATATATAAGACACAATGAATTGACTTATTTTCCAATGCAAAAACAAAGCTTTCAAGAATATCTGAAAAAACTTATCATGGAACATATTGCATTATGTATTTCAACTCAAAAAACTGAAACTACACATAAATTACAAGGAGGTGAAGAGTGTTACTCTATTCTCAGCAATGCACATATCTAGGGAGAGAACTTGACACTTAATTGAAGTAGCAGCTAACATTGTTCACAAAATTAGGGACATTTTCCAGATCTTATTCCATTGGATGACAAGGCCTATCAATCTCTCCCTTGATGATGCTTTGAGTTTTCTAGTTGTTCCTTCTTAGAGACGTACAGGCTTCATGATATGTACTGCATGTACATGGGTTGCACCTCAATTGGTGACTTTTTAAGTTTTTAATTAATAGTTACATACACTACTTATGAAAAGAATAAAGGGGAAAAAAACAAAATAAACAGTCTAAAGTTCAAAAGGGCCCTAATAAATATCTTATATGAATCACTAAAATATCATTTTATAACACAACCATTAACCACTTTAATTCTCATCTCATTTATTTCTATACCCTCAAATTTCAAGATCTCAAATCATATATATAAGCCTCATCCACCCATGGCATGGTGTTTGTGCGTGTGACCACATATTGATACAACTTATATTTGGTGACCACCTTTTGGGGTAAGGTGGTCTCATTCCAGGCATTTATTTAGCAAAAACCACCATTTTGCAGCAATGCCACTGTTGCTAGAGTGACTGCAGGCAGAAGAGGTACCCAGAATGATGAAAATGATGTCAGTATTGAGCATATTGTTTTTCTGAGATATTTCACTAGCCGAGATATTTTGACATAAAATACGGGCTATGAATTTAAGTCATGTCACTTAAACCGACAACATAAGTAAGCGTGCAAAGGCTACCTATTCCAAAAAAATAAAAATAATAATAATAAATAAATGAATTCTGATGCCATTATATAGCAATAAGTTAGTTGAACTCACCAACCCTCTTGCTCTCAGAGAATTTCTTTTGTAAAACCTTTATGCAGTCCTGCATACGAATTCATGGTATAAATTGCATCAACTTCATGTTCAATTGATTGAATACCGAATATAACTGTTAGTCCAAATATGCATTCATGCAATGCCAGATACATAGATCAAGGAATGATGAAAGAAGCTACATGCATTTGCTTTTATTTGATAGATAATTATTTGACAAATAAGAAAAATACCAAGACTTCCAAGGGGCCACAACATATGTATACACAATGTGTCGAAGTGAGAAAGAAGAACATGCATCTGCTCGGTCTCATTATGTGAAAATGTAACAAAACTAAAATAAATAATCCACAAAGATAAAGCATCACCCTTATAGCCCAGAAACAAATTATAAGAAGAATGTCGGAATACTTCAACTTCCCCATTGTGTATACTCCTCTTCCAATGAGACCTCCCACACTGATCTACCTATAACTTCATACCCTCTTCTCCATTTACTCAAATTTCAACCACCCATCTAACCAAAACCCAATGAGACCTAAATAGTGAAAAGAGAAGGGACCACTTCCTCCCTCCCCAACAGTAGAATAATAGAAACTAACCAACATGTCATGTTCACAAGATAATACCAATACAAAGACAATTATATCCAGAACAGAGTTCAGCAATTGATATCGTCTACTGCAACATGTAAAAAAATAATGGACACTTTCCTAAATTGGAGTAATGTACCGCCATACCTAACAAGTGTTAGCCCAATAAATATGAACTCCTACGAGTCCTAAGCACCAATCTGACATGATCTGATGAATAGGTGGTTAATCTATAAGCATGTGTTAATGAAATGGTTTTGGGAGCAAAGATGGACACAGTGTAAGTCAAATTTTTTTCTCGCTGTATCAGGACTAGTGAGCCGATCATTAACTGGATTGATTCAAAGTGGTTAAAATCTAAAGATTGAATCTCAGGTGCTGCAGTTGGAATAAATACTTATATGCATCTTTATGAACATTTATGAACACGAGAATAAGAATGCCAAATATCAGTTAGCGTTATCAAACAAAATCGATAAACCTATTCCCAGTTCAATTCCTTCCTAGATCTAGTTCAAGAACCTAGAATTCCCTTAGGGTTCTCTAATTTTAGATTCAAGAATTTTTATTTTATTTTTTTTATTTTATACAATCACAACTAAGTTAAAGGATCCTAATTTTTGTAACAAAACAACAATTGTTTTAGATTAACAAATTAAAAAAAGAAAATGTGTTCAACCCATTAAAGAACCCAATTTCAAAATAAGCAATTGACATTGAACATATTTTTCCCAACTCAGATTCAAGAAGATTATAAAAAAAAAAGAAGAAAAAATTCACAATCTAAAACAATACATTCACATGCTTTCATAATTAATTCAATAACCTAAAGTTCCTTAAGGTTCTCTAATTTTACATAATTTTGGAGTTGCTCAATCAAAACCTTGACTTTTCAGTGAAAATCCCGAAATCAAAACCCTAGTTTGAATCTACAAACCTGGTTAAAGGATGGAAGTGTTCTTTGCGTGCGTTCGTCCCTTCCATCTCCTTTCGGCCGTCTTTTCTCTCCGTCGTTACTTCTCTTTCTTCGTTCTTTTCTTTTAGCTCAGAGCTCTGTCTGTGTGTATTTTCTTTGTCCATCTTCTCCTTCTCACTCGTTGTTATGCCGGTTGGGGTTTGGGTTTGGGATTGGGATTTGGGGTCTGATGGAGAGAGAGAGAGAGAGAGAGAGTGAGGGTTTTGAAGAGTTTTTGCAGAGAGATGAAAAAGAGAGAGAGAAGGGTTTGGGATTTGGGGTCTGATGGAGAGAGAGGGTAGGGGTTTGAAGAGTTTTTGTAGAGACATAAGGAGGGTTCAAACCCTCTCTCTTCTCCCTCTTCTAGTTTTATCCGATTTATTCTATCTTCCTTTTAGAACCTAATTACAAGCCAAACAATTTGTATATATTTTGATTTTTAAAAAAAAAATCTAATATATTTTTTTGTCATCGGCGCCACATATTTCATTTTGGCGCTTTTTTATTTTCGGTCATACCATTCACGACATAAATTGTGTATCGTGGAAAGTGTAAGGTTTTAAACGACTGACATTTTGTGCGTCGTGAAAAGTGTAATTTTTAACGTCTGACTTTTTGTGCACCATGAAATATTCAATATTTTTAACAACTACTGTATGCGTATCGTTTATAGTTAATGTATTAATGGCATGCCCTATGCACGTTATAGAAAGTTTTATTATATATGGCTAACATTGTAAGCCGTAAAAAAATCATCGTTATTAGCATTCACGACTTACGCAATAGGCATGTCGTGGTTGGAAAATTATTTACGACATGCAAAAAAAACAAGTCATAAAAGTGAGAAATCACGACTTGCATTTACTATATGTCGTTGATGTAAAGCCGTAAAAACTCAGTTTTGTTGTAGTGAGGTAACCCAAAACACAGTCATTTTTGCTTTAAAACTATTCTAATTCACATATTTAGCAACTAATAGAAACTAATAACCCGTACAATTTCTATTTGTAGATCATGTGGCAGCCATGGGCCACGATGCCAGCAGGGATTCAGGACCAATATGCCGGGGCCGGGGCCTGGGCCACTTCCCACTACCGCATTCTATTCGAGGGCCCAGTGTACCGGGCCTGGTTCTTGGGCGAGCGCTTCGTGCACCAGATTGTGGGCCTGCCTGACCCGATCATTCCAATGGCTCCGCCAGAGTCCATGCGATCTGCAGATGGCCTATCCACTGAAGAGGTTATCCAGTTTATGGTGTTCTTGGATGCCAACTGCTTCCGAGTAGAGGGTGACTATGCGGCCTTCATCCAGACACAACTAATGCCGTCCCTGACCAGTGCTCGTAGACGTGAGGAGGTGAGAGCTCCTGCTGCATGAGAGGCGCCTACAGTGACCCGGGCGACCAGGGTGACCAGGGCTCGTGGTAGAGGAGCTTCCCAGATAAGGCAGAGGACCGGTTAGTCAGAGCTTCAGACCGCGCTGACATGCTAGCGGCATACTAGGGAGCCTTATCAGATCCCGATTGAGCCTGCGGCGATTGGGTATGAACTTGTCGGGGTTCGAGGCCCGACTCAGGTATGAACTACACTTTACATTTTGCACCCCACATTTCATTTCAAATATGTGTATTGCAAATATTGATCACCCAAATGCATTTGCAGGCACCCATCGAGTACACTGGAGGCCCTTGAGTTGATAGCCTCCCTGATGGGTATGGTACAGAGGAGAGAGGCAATGCTTAGCCTCTACGGTATTCAGGTGATTTCTTCAATTCGCACTCCAGGCATCAGATTTTCACTGACACATTGACATTGACATTTCAACTGAAAACTTTTTAAACTGCAATGATATACTGCATCTGACACACTACACTCACACATTGTATTCATACACTGTATCTGATTTCTGTATATACTCATTTTGCACATCATGCATACATCTAATACACTCGCTGTAATTGATATGTGACAACTGTCTTTTCAAGTCCCACCTATACCGATGACAATAGCGGCAGCCGCATCACCTGCACCAGCAGTACCTCCTCCAGCAGTAGGGAGTGGAGAGAGACAAGCTCCAGCAGGCGGCCGAGGTAGAGCTAGGGGCACCCGAGACGAGAGCGGTCCTTCAAAGCTCATTTTGAGTGATGATGATGCTAAGACGAACGACTCTGAGGAGGCAGTGAGTCAGTATTCGAAATCATCCGAGAGTGGAGATGATGACGCCAGCTCGAGTTCCGAGAGTGGAGGTGATGTCGAGGCGAGCTCTGAGGCAGAGAGTAAAGATGACGCCGACTCAAGTTCTGGGACAAATTCAAACAGCGGCGCTGATGGAGATAGTGCCCCGGAGTCCTTTCCTCTGAGGAAGAGAACGAAGAGGGCTTCTCGAGCCTGAGGCAACTAGCGCTGATTTTTTGTATTTTTGCTTAGTTTCTTTTTGTTTATAGCATTAGCACATTGTATAGCTTTAGATAGGCTTTATTTTGCCTTAAAACTTGTACTCTCATTTTGTAAAAACCATGATCGGATTAAAAACCCCGCAGTTTTTATAAAGAGTGTTGTTATTTTTGCATCATGAGCACCACATATGCATGAAATGGACATGGAATTGAAATAGTTAAGAGCACTTGATTGAAACAAAATTCTTAATTGAGTAATGAACTGACCAACAAAGAAAATGTAAAATGCAACATACAACTCGATAAACAAAACAACTCAAATACAACTCAACAAGCTTGTTAAAACCAAAAAGAAACACACTAAGAGCAGAACAAAACACATGCTTTCAGCATTGTTCAACATAAAAGCGAATAACAAAGCTGAAAAGAAGGTTGCCAGCCGCAGGAGGAGATTTCTGGCCACATGCTGGCCAGAGGAGGTGGCCACCAATGTGGCCTACCGACCATCTGTCGGCCACCTACCAGCCATCAATGTGAAGAACCTCCAGATTGTTGACAGTTGGCTTCCACTCACTGCCTTATCTTCTACAAAAGGTTGAGCTTCATGAATTTCTTCTTCAGAACTTCATTTCAGCTACAATTTCTTCACAAATTGAACCATTTTTCGCCGAAAAACTCTCGGACTGGATTGCGGCTTTGGACGACTCGGAAAAGGTGAATTCCTGGGGTTTCGGCATAAATGAACTTGTCGAGGTTCGAGGCCCGACTCAGGTATGAACTACACTTTACATTTTGCATCCCACATTTCATTTCAAATATGTTTATTGCAAATATTGATCACCCAAATGCATTTGCAGGCACCCATCGAGTACACAGGAGACCCTTGAGTTGATAGCCTCCCTGATGGGTATGGTACAGAGGAGAGAGGCACTACTTAGCCTCTACGGTATTCAGGTGATTTCTTTAATTCGCACTCCAGGCATCAGATTTTCACTGACACATTGACATTGACATTTCAACTGAAAACTTCTTAAACTGCACTGATATACTGCATCTGACACACTGCACTCACACATTGTATTCATACACTATATCTGATTTCTGCATATACTCATTTTGCACATCATGCATACATCTAATACACTCGTTGTAATTGATATGTGACAACTGTCTTTTCAAATCCCATCCATACCGATGGCAATAGCGGCAACCGCATCACCTGTACCAGTAGTACCTCCTCTAACAGTAAGGAGTGGAGAGAGACAAGCTCCAGCAGGCAGCCGAGGTAGAGCTAGGGGCACCTGAGACAGAGCGGTCCTTCAAAGCTCATTTTAAGTGATGATGATGCTGAGACGAACGACTCTGAGGAGGCAGTGAGTCAGTATTCGGAATCATCCAAGAGTGGAGATGATGACGCGGGCTCGAGTTCCGAGAGCGGAGGTGATGCCGAGGCAAGCTCTGAGGAAGAGAGCAGAGATGACGCCGGCTCGAGTTTTGGGACAAATTCAAACAGCGGCGTTGATGCAGATAGTGCCCCAGAGTCTTCTCCTCCGAGAAAGAGAACGAAGAGGGCTTCTCGAGCTTGAGGCAACTAGCGCTGATTTTTTGTATTTTTGCTTAGTTTCTTTTTGTTTATAGCATTAACACATTGTATAGCTTCAGACAGGTTTTTTTCGTTAAAACTTGTACTCATCTTTTTGTAAAAATCATGATCAGAATAAAAATCAGTTTTTATGAAAAAGTGTTGTATTTTGCATCATGAGCACCACATAGCATGAAATGGATATGGAATCAAATTGGCAAAGATAACACTCTTAATTGAAGCAAAATCTTAATCAGGTAACGAGCCAACCAACACTGAAATACAAAAAGCAATAAACAACTTGATAAACAAAACAACATACAACTCGATAAACAAAAACAACGCAACAACAACTTAACAAACTTGCTAAAGCCAAAAGGACTCAAAACAAGACCTTTAAAACACACAATGAGCAGAACAAAACATATGCTTCCAGCAATGCCTAACACACAGATGGACAATAGGTCAAAGTGAGAGACTGCCTACCACAAATCGGGGTTGCCGGCCACATGCCGACCATGAGAGGTGGCCTGCCGACCACCAATGTCTCTTGCCGGCCACCAATGTAGCTTGCCAGCTACCTGTCTCTACCTACCGACCATTAATGCGAAAGACCACCAGATTATTGACACATGGCTTCCACTCACTTCCTTATCTTCTACAAGAGATTGAGTTTCATGATTTCTTCATTTCAGCTGCAAATTCTTCATATATTGAGCCATTTTTTGTCGAAAAACTCTCGAATTAGATCGCGACTTTAGACGGCTCGAAAAAGGTGAATTTTTAGGATTTCTACATAAATGCACTTTTCTTGCTGAGTCATTCTTCGCTTTGTTTTTCGTTCCTGCATGCAGCGGCCAGATGCTGGAACCCAATTACACATGTCATTAGCTTCGGAGGACAAGAGATATGCCCTACAATCGAAGAATTTCAGGCGCTAATGGAATCTCAGGGCGATGAGAAAATCATAATTCAGCCCCATTTCGGCAATATCCAAGCTTTGGAACGGATGTATGTGCTCACTCTACGCGAGGCTCGATCTTTGGTTGGCAATGGAGAGCTGGATATTCCTTGCGTGATTCATTGATTTTCTGACATCGATGACCGAGGCGACTTTCTTTGGCGGGGTTTTCGGCAACATGCCATTTGCTTGTGTATGCTGGCTTACTTCCTTCTTGCCCCAAATTTTAGTGGGTCTAGCATTTGGCTGATTGAAGTGGCCCAAGGTTTGAAAGAAGGCAAGAGTTGCATTGGCTTAGTGCTGGCCAAGACTTTGATGGGATTAGACGCCTTCCATCGACGAGAGACTAACAAATTCACAGGAAGTCTACTACTTCTCCAGGTATTATTTTCCGCCCTTTCTCATATGTATTTCTCGCATCACTCAACACTCATGCTCTG